CTTGCCTCATTGGGTGCATGAGACTAAGGACCGATCCCGAAAATCGGACCGACAATCAACGCACCAGCGAACAACAAAAATTAACCGAAATTCAAAGGCGTGACGTGACAGGTTTCTAGAAGCTCCGCATGGGTGCTTCGTTCACGTTCCCGCGTTGGATTTACGCCCCACCGCCAAAGAAAAACCCCTTCGTTGGTGTGGGCTGCCGCAAAGTATGTAGTGCCCTAAAGTTTCAGGTACCCATTTGGGAAACCATCTTTCCCATCTGTCTAGTTCTTCTCAATCCCAAATAATCCTAGGTGACTCCTGTTTACGCCACCAATCGAATATCAATCAGCGTTTTACAAGCAATGCCGGACAATCACAAGTCATAGGATTTTTGAAACCAAAATCCTCTTTTCACTTAGCTGCGTTCAATGCTCGCACACTCTACCAGATCGGTCAACAAGCTGTCTTAGCTAGAACCCTTGAAATTCTCAATTTAGATGTGTGCTGCGTCTTCGAACAACGTATACAAGATCCTGCTTTCCTTATCTTCCTGCGTTCCCCTGATACAACCTCAACCTCAGGCTTCACTCTTCGTGTGTCAGGACCACGGATTGTTTCTGTCAAACACGAACTTCTCGCACAAGAAACGCCATCGACTTTCATGGAAACCGCCTACCTCTTCACTGCGCTGGACCCAAATCGACCACATCGCCATCAGCCACCGCTGGAGGGGATCAATTCAAAACTGCCGCTCTTACTGGTCAACAGCTGTGGATACAGACCACACTTTGTTACCAGCCAAATTCTCCCTACGCTTGGAAAACAACCGCAGAGAAGCCAATAACGGATACCCACGATGGCTGCAAATCGGCTTTCGGAACGAAGCTCTCCGATCGCTTGTCAGTTCAACCATCAGTCGAAGAACTCAATGAACACTGGAAGCAAATCAAGGAAGCTATGCAAACATAATTAAAAACAACGTCGGATTCTGTCACAGGTTCAAAACACAAACGATGGATCTCATCGACCTCAGCTGCCCTGCTGGACGCCCGCAGAACCCTTCCTCCTAATGCCGCATATGACACAGCGCGCAAATCCCTTAAACGCCAGCTCATCAAGAGTCTGAAGAATGACCGTGAGAAATGATTGAAAGAGAAGTGCAGAGAGATGGAGAAGGCTGCCGCTATCGGCAATAGTCGCAATATTTTCCGTCTGATTAGGAATACAGGCGCCAGGAAAGTAGACGAGTGAGGTAATCAAGTAATCCAATGGCACACTGATTCACAATCAGCGACGCCTTCTTGATCGATAGCCTGAACACTTCAAGGTTCAGTACGACTGGCCCCCATCGACATCTGATCTTTCACCCTCAACCTTGACTGGGCAAATACTGCCAGTTGATGCTAGTCCTCCATCTGAAATGGAGGTTACCCGAGAAATAAGTTATCCCAAAAGGCATAAAGCTTCCGGCCCCGACGGGCTGTCCTCATCTGCTTTTAAGGATGGAGGATTAGCCTTGGTTTTGGAGTTAACAAAACTACTGGGCTCAGTGTGGAAGAGGTTCGAGCCAAATGGTGTGAGTTGGTAATCATACTGATTTTTAAGAAGGTCGATAGGTCCTACCATAGAGGAATTAGTTCAATCAACTTTGCCTCTAAACTTCTCGCCGGCATCATACTCCGCCGATTGTCTACCGCACCTGAACGCGTGAGAGCCAGGCTGGTTTTAGACCCGGTCGAGGTCGTATCGACCATATATGCAATCTCCGCCAAATTATGGAGTATCGACATTCCTTCCGGGGAGACCCACCATCTCTGTTTTCCTCGATTCGAAAGCAGCTTTCGACTCAGTCGACCGCTCTAAACTCTGGCGCTACCTCGCTCTAAAGGATGTGCTCGAGAAGTATATTTAAATATTACGATCGCTTTATAGTAATAACCAAAGTCGAGTCCGGGCTTACGGCCCTTTATCCGCCGGAGTTCACCTCAGAAAATGGTGTTCGACAGGGTTGCCCTCTCTCTCTCCTTTTCTATTTAACTTTGTCATAGATTTATCTTGAAACAGCCCTATCCTCGCAGGCATAGCGGTATCGATTTACTTCCGGGTGGCAGACTGTCTGATCTAGAGTATGCAGAGGACATTGTGCGACTCAGCGAAGATCCAGGTAAGTTGCAAGCTTTTTTGGATAGCTTGAATACCAGTGTAGCCATGTTCGGTATGCTTTTACATCGGCGGGGCCTTCGAATTTCGGCCGTGCTATCCGTTTTTTTTCCATCATCGGATTATTCATTGCATAACCATAACTGTGTCTGACTTTTGTACCACTCGCATGAACGTTTACCTTTGTTGCCAAGGCAACTGTTGTGCTATTACAGTAATGACAAATTTGATCAAATACACTCGTGATTTCATGCATTCCATCAAATGGACCAAATATGCAGCGACAACCTCTTTTGGGAAGACTATAAGGAGTAAAAGCAAACGGACGTTCAGAAAGCTTTCGAAAAATCCGAGGAAGCATCGAGCCGATCGGAAAGTTGCTCCTCGGAAGCAAACCATCTCCCGCATGTGTGTTCCCATCATTCTCACTTCTAACGTTCGATCTCTTATCGGAAACATGGCCGATCTCACCAGCTTAATCAAGCAACGGGAATATGCCCAACTAGGTGTGATCATGCTACAAGAAAGTTGGCTCCACAATGAAATTGAGGATGAGATAATACACCTGGATGGATTCGCTAGCTATCGTGTCGATCGTCCTGTTCCTTATTCCCGACGGGGAGGTGGCGTTATCACGTATGTTGAAAATCAGTCGTGCCATCTGACCAAAAATGTGTTTAATTATTCCACGCATTATATAAACGCATCGGCAATTCAATGTAAGCCCAGGAATTTGAGTTTCTCTTGGTCACTTATTATTGTAAATGTATACATAGCCCCCACTTGCTCATCCCATGTTCTTAATGATTTTTACGATTCTCTTTCAACTACACTG